AAATCTGTCCCACTGTAAGACATGTACAGCCCCACTAAATAGTGACACGGACAGAGGTGCCGTGGCTTCCTCCAAAGAGGGCAACTTCTTTACACTCTTCCCCCCCCCACAATGGACATGGAGAGATCACCTCCTTGTGAGGGGGGGGGGCATGGGCACGAACCCCAGGCAGAGCTGAAGCCCAGCATCTCTCAGGTAGAAATCACGCCATATAGGATAACTTTCTAACTGCGTGCGTTTCTTTGGGGAACACGTACATGTCCATGGCCAGAAATAAAATGCAGAAATATCAAACCTCAAGGGAGAACTGGCCAGCTCACGGCAAGCGGTTTCCTCAACCACCGTAGAATCCAGGTTCTCAGAAACTAGACTTCCCTTCTCTAAAAATGATTTCAGCCACACGGACAGAGATAAGGTCGAGCAATTGTAAAGACTCTTCCTTCAGCAGATCAGCCCTCCTTGACCCGTTTCTGTAGCTTTGACTGTCCCTTTCTGGTCCCAGTGGTATTAATAGCCTACAGTAACCCCTGGTGGCGGTCCCGCCCTTTCAGGCCGCTGAGTATCCGTTAGGCTAAGTTGCTTTGTTCTCCACCTGACAGCTACATCTACAAACGACTGAAGTTCCTGGGAAACAAGTTACTCTCACAAGCCATATCTCTGCTTTTCCTGGCCATCTGGCACGGGCTGCACTGTGGCTACCTGGTGTGCTTCCAGATGGAGTTCCTGATTGTCATTGTGGAAAGACAGGTGAGGACATCGTTGAAAGACGGGGGTGGGGGTGGGGGTGCTAGGTAACCCCAATTTACTGCTGCATGTTTGGCTGTTGTTAGAAGAGCCTGTCATTAGTGACAGTCGATCATCAGGAAGGATGTGGGAAGAGCTTCTTTGGTGACATCCGCTCTGCGAGCTCCCTCTGTGATAAGAACATAACAGCCCCAGTAGATCAGAGCAGTGGTCTATGTAGTCCACTGTCTCACACAGTGGTGCCAACCAGTTCTTCTGGAGGGCCAACAAGAGGGTTCGAAGCCAAGGCCTTCCCCTGATGATGGTGTAGCTGTTAGGAGCGGGCTCTAATCTGGGAGAACCGGGTTCGATTCCCCCCTCCTCCACATGCAGCTGCTGGTGTGACCTTGGGTCAGTCATAAGTTCTTTCAGGGCTGTTCTCTCAAGCGCAGTTCTTGGGAGAGCTCTCTCAGCCCCACCTACCTCATGGGGTGTCTGTTGTGGGGAGGGGACGGGAAAGGAGATTGTAAGCCTCTCTGAGACTCCGAGTGAAGGGCAGGGTATAAATCCAATCTCTTCTTCCGTCTCTTCCATTTAGTCACCTTGGCTAGTAGCCACTGATAGATCTATCCTCCATGAATCAATCCAAACCCCTTTTAAAGCTATCTATGGCTCTGGCTGTCCAGTGTTCCCTGAGTTAGTGTGAGCTAGCTCACAGTTTTCTAGCCTCCGGCGCACACATTTTTGTCCTAGCTCAGGGAGGAGGGCTCCAGAGGAAACTAGTTTATGCAGCAGCCAAATCGCTCGCTCACAGCTTTAATGTCACTAGCTCACAAAGCAGAATTTTTGCTCACAAGACTCCACAGCTTAGAAGGAGTATTGGCTGTCACTACGTCTTCTGGCACATTTCAAGCAAAGAAGTATTTCCTTCTGTCCATCATGATACATCAGGCTACAATTCAATGTATTGCGGCAGGCGTCAAGGTGGTGGGCCAGGCAACTGAAGCCTTTGTTGACTGAGAGCCAATTCATCCCACAGGCTAAGTTGTTTGTGAGGCCTTCCCCACCCACCCCTGATATTAGTGAAATAGGGATGCAGTGTGGCCACACACATTAGTAAAATATCCTATATATCTCCACCTATTATGAGATTGTAAGTATATTTAAATTTAATGAACTAATCATCTAGCTCTAACATACTGAGAGGAGATGAATAGAGAGTCTCAGGTAACTTACCACAATTAGAAAAGATACCTTTCACACATCTATCCCCCTTTTTTACATATTTATTGCTTTACTGTCCTTTCCCCCCTTAATTAAATCAAAACAACTGTTGACCTTATAACTTTCATGATACATCAGGCTACAATTCAATGTATTGCGGCAGGCGTCAAGGTGGTGGGCCAGGCAACTGAAGCCTTTGTTGACTGAGAGCCAATTCATCCCACAGGCTAAGTTGTTTGTGAGGCCTTCCCCACCCACCCCTGATATTAGTGAAATAGGGATGCAGTGTGGCCACACACATTAGTAAAATATCCTATATATCTCCACCTATTATGAGATTGTAAGTATATTTAAATTTAATGAACTAATCATCTAGCTCTAACATACTGAGAGGAGATGAATAGAGAGTCTCAGGTAACTTACCACAATTAGAAAAGATACCTTTCACACATCTATCCCCCTTTTTTACATATTTATTGCTTTACTGTCCTTTCCCCCCTTAATTAAATCAAAACAACTGTTGACCTTATAACTTTAGCTTGTTAGTTTTGTCCTTGCATATTTTAACAGTACAGCACACAGTAAAAAGTAGCAAAGAAACAAAAAACAACTGAGCTGAATTTTCCGCAAAATATTCACGAAGGGGACGTCATCAAACTGAAAGGCATCTGTTGTCTAAATTTATCCATATAATCCATCATAGGAAAATGCAGACGCCAAAGAAGTCCATAATAGGAAAATGAAGACGCGAAGAATAAATATAATCCTATGATGGATTATATGGACAGATTTAGAAAATGGATACGTTTCACTTTGATGAAGTCTCCTTTGTGAATATTTTGTGGGAAATTCAGCTCAGTTTTTTGTTATTCTTTGCATATCTTAAAACATCATCACAATGTTACATGTTAATTTGCTGTTCAGCCTCTAAGTTTGTACTCTACCTTCCATTCCAGCGTATTTGAAAAAGCGTGCATGCACCCAAAAGCTCATACCTTGAATAAACGTTTGTTGGCCTTAAAGATGCCACCAGACTCTAAATTTGTTCTACTGAATTACTGAACATTATTTGACAGCCTGGCTAATTGGACTTTGAGTCCATTTATACAGATAACGTCACTGTGGAATGTAATTCTGTTCAGGCATCTGAAGGCAAAGTCATTCAAAATGGCACCCTGTAACTTTCCTTGCAGGCGATCAGTCTGGTACGAGACAGTCCAGCGCTGAGTAAGCTGTCTTCAATCACCGTCTTGCGGCCTCTCTTCTATGTTCTTCAGCAACTTAACCACTGGATGTTCATGGGATATTCTCTGGTGCCATTTTGTCTTTTCACTTGGGAAAAGTGGATCAAGGTACTGAGGGACTCAAATTCCCTATGGGGAAGGGCTTGTCTCTCTTCCCCTTCTTTATTTGGTGTAGTAAAGTGCGCGGACTCTAATCTGGGAGAACCGGGTTTGATTCCCCACGCCTCCACTTGCAGCTGCTGGATGACCTTGGGCAAGCCATAGTTCTGTCAGAGCTGTCCTTGAAAGGGCAGTTCTGTCAAGAGCTCTCTCAGCTCCACCTACCTCACAGGGTGTCTGTTGTGGGGAGGGGAAGGGGAAGGAGTTTGTAAGCCGCTCTGAGACTCCGAGTGAAGGGCAGGGTATAAATCCAATCTCCTCTTCTGCTTTTTCTTGAGAAAGGGATAAGGGGAGAGAAGCAACAAGCCTGTCTAGCACTGACACACACACCCCCATCTTTCCTTTGCAGGTATACCAGTCTGTTTATTTCTTAGGCCATCTGTTGTTTTTCACACTACTGTTTGCGTTGCCTTTCCTCCGAAAAGCACTCGTGCCACGGAAAGAGAAGCTAAAGAAAGCTGAGTAACAACCAAAAGGTGAGAAGAGTGCCTACGGACAGCCGCTCTTAGAGAACACAGAGCTAAGAATGCAGCACAGCAGCTTTCATGTCAATATCTGTTTTTTGCTTTCCCTCTTTCAGATTGTACCACCGTGTGCATTTGTTGTGGGGAGTACAGAAGCATCAGCTGCCAAACTTGCTGCGTCCAAGCCTTTTCTGAGTGACAGAGGGAGGAAGAGAGCACAGGGGCTGCGACGCCCAGAAGGAGGGGGACCGGGCTGCAGATCCCCCCCACCCACCCCTCCGACACGTTTCCTTCTCTCTTGACTTCTCCCCCTTGGGACACTCCAGTTTTGGGAAAATTCAGATGATTGTAAAGCACTTGACGCAGCTGCCATCTGGGAACGGAGCCACCGCTTGACTTTTTCTACCTTCCAATTCTGCTAGATAAAAATTGGTCCCAGTTGGTTTTTCACTTACGCCTGGAGCTGCTTTTTCTCCCCCCACTTTGGCTTCTTCCTCGTTGGCCTATTTTTTCTTAGCGAATGACACGAAGGACAGTTGCCCGTAATACTTCCACACAGTCCTCTCCCCCACACTCCATACATGAACTAGGGCTGCCCCTGTGTCTTAACAGCAGCCTACGTGCCAGAACACGGGGCCCCCAGCGTGACGCCCGCCAAGTGGTTTGAGAAAGTGGGTGGGGCCCAGCAAGGCTTCTGATTGGCTATGTAGATTTAAAAACAACAACAACAGCACTGCTTTGGTAGCAGCTGCCGCCACAGCCCCTAGGCTCTTCACCGTGTGTCTGAAGATAAACTGTGGCACAGCCATTTTTCTAGCTGCGCCCACCACACGGTGTCAGAATTCCAAAGGTGCCCGTAGGCCCAGAAAGGTTGGGGACCCCCTGCCCTGAAATCCAGCTGGTGAAACTCTTCCAGGCAGGGACGATAGGAACGGCTGCATAAACTGTAGGTAGACTAGGATCGCAACTCCCATATCCTTGCTGCAGTTTCGCAGGACAGAAGCCATCGAACAATAACATCAGTCACTGCGTTGTAGGACCAGCACCCAAAGAGATGAGAATTACATCACTACTGGCTGCTGCATCGCTAGCCTGTCTGGTCAGCCACTTGTTTTAGTGTGGGGGGGGGGGCTGCAGCATTCTTGGCACTGTGGCAGGCTGGATGCTCTCTTTTTTTTATGGGGGGGGAATGCACACCAGCCAAGATCAGATCAGCCAAGGCTTAACGTTGAAACAGTCCTCCAGCTGCTCAAGAAGTTGGATTTCTCCCAATCTTAAAATGTTTATTTGCCACAAAACATACAAGACTATCTGATCTCTCCCACAGGGAGGGGGGAATGCAACAGGTACAACCCTGCAACACACTTAATTCCACCACCTGGAGCTGGCGCACTGAATTCAATGGCACAAAAGCCAGGTGAGGGAATTCACACTACTCCCCACATCTCCTCGAAAGATGTGGTGATCTTAGCGCAGGTCAAGGCAGCCGAGAGCGGATAGTTGCTGATTGAGATGGTCTTCTCCGTGTAGTCCACGCTCACCTGGGGAAAGAAAAGATGCCGTCACCGACCACCTGTACCTTCTAGGGAAAGTGGTTTGTTGCTATGACACTCAAGTTTTTCACCAGTCTGATTCTAGATGGATAGTCATCTACATCATGAGTTGACTGCCTTTGTTCTGTACACCCACCCTCCCACCAGGGTAGGCTGAGAGCTAGGTGAGAAATAATGTCTTTCAGTAAAAACAAATTAGAGCCACTCAGTTTTACAAAAGCCCTGTACAGCAAGCCAGTGGTTGCCTGTATTACAGAAAGCCAGGCAAGGTGAGACGTTGCTAGGGAAAGTGCCTTGGAAATATAGCCCACACGGTAACATCAACTACCTCCCAACAAGCATCTGAAACAGACCTGGTGGGCGTATATGTTCTCCTTACCGAGCCGTGGGCAAAAGCTCCCACAACGATGGCTACAGGGTCTGTGGCAGGGACCAGGTCACGAACATTTGTCACGGCAGGGACAGAAAAAGACGTGCCTATCTTCATGCAGCCCACGGGAAGGTGATCAGTCACTGGATTTTTAATCACCTACAGACAAAAATACAGGATTAGCTCGGAGGAGAAGTAGAAACAAAAGCAATTGTTCCCCATACAGAAGAAGACTGGATTTATACCTTGCCCTTCACTCGGGAGTCTCAAAGCGGTTTACAATCTCCCTTCCCTTCCCCTCCCCACAACAGATACCCTGTGAGGTAGGTGGGGTTGAGAGAGCTCTTTCAAGAACTGCCCTTTCAAGGACAGCTCTTGCCAGAACTATGGCTTGCCCAAGGTCATCCAGCAGCTGCAAGCGGGGGAGTGGGGAATCAAACCCGGTTCTCCCAGATTAGGGTCCACGCACTTAACCACTACACCAAAGTGGCTCGTACAGACGGTGATGTTACCTTTAACAGCTTCTGAGGACCATCAGCCGCTCTGACACTGAATTTATGCAGTAGTTGAACTAACGAGAGAGAGGCAGAGAGAAGATGCTTTAGATTTGAGTTACTCAACGGGAGATACAGTAAGACAGACAACAGCGCGTCCCACATTTCAAGGCTCTAGAGAGATCATTGCTGCTTTCTGATTAGTGAATACTGGGATCCTTTCCTTTACAAACAGGCCTACACTGAAGAATGATATGAAAGTTACCAGGCAGATCTGTGTCCTGTTATGTCAGCCATTCTAGCAGTGCCAGGCCTCCTTTAGGAAAGCCTCCAATAGTTCAGTCATACACCTGTAACGTGGCAACTACTGATCATAGAATATTAAGAGTTGGAAGGGACCTTGCAGATCATCTAGTCCAACCCCCTGCACTCTGCAGGAGCATAGCTGAAAGATAGCCCTACAACATACCCTCCCGAGGCAGTCTGTTCCACTGCTCAACCACTCTTACAGTTAGTATGGACATGAACTGCATGTTTTGGTTTGGGGTTCATGGCCAAACCACAAACTGGGAGGTTGGTTCACAAGCCAAACCAGTTCATACTGGTTCGTGATCCTGCTTTCTGCTCCCCCCACCCGCTTTTCACAGGGAGAAAAAAGCAGGGGTTTCCTTACACAAAGCAGTGGGGAGAAGAAAGCAGGTTTAAATGGCTCAGAGCGATTTGAACCCCTGCTTTCTGCTCCCCACCACTCAGCTGTGCTTTTTCCCCATGAAGAATAGAAAGTATGGGTTTAAATGGCTCGGAGCCATTTAAACCCCTACTTTCTGCTCTTCACAAACTGCCATGAATGCCTTAAAATTCATGGAAGTTCATGACAGCCCTTCCATTCGCAAACCACAAACTGCCCAAAATTCATCACAAACTTGTCCAACCCTAGTGATAACTGCTTAAAGTTTAACAGAAGGCAGTAGCCATGGACAGCCAGCATCCTATTGCCTGTAACTGACAGGGTGGAAAATGTATGTTACCAATGGACAGCTCTTCATAAAGTCCCATCAATTAGACACTCCATTGAGTTATGCTGATTCGCTGGAAAGCTCCAGTGAAAAACAGCTTTACTTCTTGGCTCACCTTCTCTAGAGTCCTTGAGAAGGTTTTTACCTCTCAAGCCTATTTCAGCTTCCTATTCCTTAGCTCAATGCCTGTTCCCTCAACTGATGTGTCTCTCCTCCCCATTCTGAATCCTAGCTTCCTTCACTGAAATGTTACTGCTTATCAGTTGTTTGGTGTTGGCACCTTTTGCTTCCCAGGAGAAATGTTTCAGTATTCTGTGATGTGCCAGGGATTCACTGTCACTCAGAAAAGTCGTAACCTGGAGAATACATGTGCCTTTTCAAGCCCTTTATGATGCCCTGGTGTAATGCGGCTTCAGCCCCTCCCCATGTCCTGCAGTTGAGCAAATGATGTGTGCCAGCAGGCCAGAGATAGGGGGTGAACATAAAAGAAGAGGTACACAATGGGGGAGAAGCCACTGCTTCAGTGTGTCAAGTGGATGCAAAGCTCTCAGAAAGAAAAGACAAAAAACAGCTGTGGCTAGAATGACCCAAAGATATGTAGCTGTGAACAGGGCTATTTTTGGGCAGGAACACACAGGAACGGAGTTCCAGCTGGCTCCCGAGTTGGCCATGCCCACCAGGAACTCATTAGCATAATAGGCCACACCTAACAGCAGAAATTCATTAGGATTGGCTACATAACGGATGTGTGGCCTAACATGTAAAGGAGTTCCTGCTACAAAAAAAGGCCCTGGGTTTTGACAACAAACAAGGTAAAGAGAATAAGAAGCAAAAGGTGGGTGTGGCTGGATGACCACACTTCTGGTAACATGGGGGTGTGGCCAATGAGATGTGATGTCAGGGTGTGGCCTAATAGGCTAATGAGTTTCTGCTGTTGGGTGTGGCCTATTATGCTAATGAGTTCCTGGGCTTTTCCCACAAAAAAAGCCCTGGCTGTGAACATCAGTCAATGAAGATGCCTTTCCAGACTGGATTTCCTGGCCAAACCATCCCTCCTTTTCCCTCTCACATTTCATTTCCCTCTCACATTTCATTTGGCGAAAGGAAGGAAGTTCTTACCCATAAGGCCACAGAAACGATCGAAAGTTCGAGGGATTCTTGTCTGAGGGTTGACTTCAATTAGGACATTCTTCTCTGTGTGGATATAAACCTGGAGAAGGCCGGCTCGATTCAGAGGACTGTCCATGAGCATCAGGAGACTCTGGAGGGAGGGAAACAAACAAGGTTCAGCTACTGAAAATGTGTAAATAAAACCGGATAGAAGATTTAAGCAGAGCACAGAAGAGTGAAATGGCAGCATCTGAGAGAAACCGTAGAGCTAAGTGCCCACGATAAAAACAGCAAAGGCCATAAGCATTTAGAAATTTTATTTATTAAATGTATTTATTAAATTTGATTCCTTAACCACCCTTCCCCGCTTATGCGGGGTTTAGGGTGGTTTACAACAGTTAACTCAGTACATTATAAAATCAATTAAAACAATGAAATCCCAATATCAAAACATTCAGAAACATTTAAACATTGAAAGCATTTTAAAACAAGATGGCAGTGCTAGCATTCAGTCATGGGGGGAGGGGGGGTGGCAGGCAAATTTAAGGAACTGTCACTGGCCTCAATCCAAAGCCTGGTGAAACATCTCCGCCTTACATTCCCTACAAAACTTTAATATGTTGGGCAGGGCACGGATGTCATTCGGCAGAGAGTTCCACCAGACTGGGGCCAGGGCAGAAAAAGGCACTGGTCGAGGCCAGCCGGGTATCTTTGGGGCCAGGGACCACCAGAAGATTCTGATCTGCAGATTTTAATGCCTTTGATTCAGGACACAAATAGAGTTGCCCAGGGCTATTTTTCTGTGGCTAAATTCCCCTGTAATTTCCCAGCTACTGCTTTAAAAACAGAGTCCCTCCGAGGGCCAGACTCACACAGTCTGCAAGCAACCCACATACTTGATGGGTGATGTCAGGTCGAACCGCTCCAGGGTCCCGCCCGTTCCGTAGCAGCACTGATTTATGCTTGTCGCAGTTCAACAGTTCATACGTTTTCCCAACCTGGAATCACGATAAAAAGGAAAACGTTATCACAAACATCATAGTTAACCTAGCACTCGATTTTCAGCAGGGGCCGCCAGGCATTTCAGAAGCTCGCAAGCTGGTCAGGAAGGCAAAGCACCAATCCTTCCAATCTGCCTCACCTCAGCACCAGGATTTCAGATGTTCATTGCCTCTGCGCACAGTAAGTGCATTTAGCTCTCAGTCTGGGGCAAGTGATGTTCTGTCTTCTTGGTGCTTGGGGGGGGA